GCCACAGATAAATGTTACTGATTTGCTAACAATTGACATTTGTAACTGTTTAGGTTATCAGTACTTGCTAATGAACAAATAATTTGAAAACAGATTATGAGTTGTTTTTAGATCCATCCACGCTAGTATCAGCAACTTATCCCACAACTAACTCCGCCCCCTTTGTTTAAAAGCAAAAATTAGGATGTCATTGTACCTCTATGACATCACAATCAGACCAGTTTTCTGACTTTTAAAACAAAATTTTAGCTCATAAATTAGGTAATTTCTCTAGTGAAAGGACATTTTTTTGCAATCGCATAGCTGTGTTTGCAGTTGGTACATTTTCATTGACAGTTCCCTCTAGTGGTAGGAAAGTGATAGTGCAGGCCAATAGCATTGTTTACCCTTAGAGACTTATGTCACCATCATTTCTACTGAACATATTTCAGATTCTAAAACATGAAATGACAGAGTACTATAGTCAAAAATATTACATTATATTTCTTCTTTAAACTTTGACACTGACTTTTTGCTGTTTATATAATTCCCGGATGGCTGGTGTAAAGCTAACCGCTCTGTTATAGCGTTTTGACACAATCAAATTACGACTATTTATGTGGTGAGTTTGGTCTGTTAGTTTTGTCGGCGGGCAGAGGAGAGAGCTTTCTGTAGCAAATAGACTTTATACAAAAGGCTGTTGAAAAGATTATTGTAATGCAGACACGAATGCCTCGGAGCAGTGTAAAACATTTGCGCTATCGATTTTCATCTACTGTTTTTATCATGTCTTGACAGTTTGGGTTGCTCTGAAGTGCGGTTTGTGGTGTGTAACAAATAATATTACTTTGAACCATTTTTAAAACATTGTTCCTGTATGAACTGGTACAAGAAGGGCCAGAGCAGAGGCTTCTGGAGGAGGCTGAGGTCTTTTAACGTTTTTAAAAATCAATCTTTTTTGCCACTGTGGCCCCGAGTATTTGGACATGTGTTGAAATGGCATGTGGATTCTAGACAACAGTGGGAAGGCAAGGCGAGGCAAGTTTATTTAAGTAGCACATTGTATACACAAGGCAACGAAGTGTATATCAAAGTGAATAAGAAAACGAGAAAGAAAGAATCATACAAGGCATTAAAATCATCAATAATCAAACGAGACCTGGATTTGTAAATTGTTTGAGAAGAAGCCTGTTTCATATTTTAGGAAGACTGTTTCAAATTTTAAGTTTTAAGGCTGATTTTAAGGCTGTTCCAGATTGAGGGTTTTTTTTGTCCTGTTTCGGCTTTCCACCCCGGGGAAGATAGGAACGTGTCTATATGAAAGGGCAATACAAAACTTTTAGAATTGGATCTTCTAAAGTCACAGCACAGTACACCATGACCAGAGGGAATCACATTATAACAGACTATAGCACGTTTATCATCCGCATGGAGCAATATAAACATTTTCAGACATATCTTTACAAGGACAACTTCATAAAAGACAGTACAGCTCATCAACAACTAGAGATGGGTCCCCAGGCGCTGCTTTGCATGTACTGGCATCGGAGAGATGGGTCAAATGCAGAGGACACATTTCTTTGCAAGTACGATATATGCCTTACATTACATTACGGCGAGTTAAATGCAAAGTATCGTCCCTTGTGTAACTTGTGTGTAGTTTTATAACATGCTAAAAATAATGATAATAATAATGTATTGGTTTAATAAAGTGCTATTTTGGACACTTAAGACATCTAACCCTGTTCATTTTGCCCCGTTCTATCCCACACTGCAGTGAACGTCTTTTTATTTTATTAATTTGAAACAGTCTTCCTGAAAATATTATTTTTATTAAATTAGATGTAGTTCCATAGTTCGCCAGAGGGTGGCAGCACTCCGGAGCACTTTGACACGTTTCTGAGCTAGCGTTAGCTCTGTCTCTGGCATCCATCTTGTTCAGCTGTGCACTTCTGGTAAACTTTGGATAAAACTTGAAATTCATTTTGAACATAACTCATTCACTTGTGAACATTATTCTGCAGAACGTGTGAATGTTTGAACCAGTTGGAACTTAGATATAAAAGGTTTGGAAACTTCTGGTGAGTTTAGACCACGCTTTGTGTTGTATTAGCATAATGTGTTGCTGATAAAATCTCTAGACAAAACTATAAAAGTATTTGTAAACCTTGCTGATGATAAAAAACAGAATGGATAATGTGGTATTGTTAAAACAGATAAGAAAGAGTGAACGTGTTAGTTTATTTGTGAAATGCATTCAATGTGAAAAGCCATTATTAAGTGCGTATGGGATTTATAGTCATATATTTTGTGTTATTTACCAAACTGTAATTTGAGTTTTGCCAATTATTTCAATAATTAATCCTTTATCGGAGAGAAATTACTTTATTTTTTAAATTAATGTATATTTTTGTCGTTTTGATAATCTGGTTTTATAATTTAGATTGAGAAATGGACAATAGTATGAATACAAACACAAAGACTGATTAATTGTTAATTTTCTGCATACTGCAAACTGTTTTTTGATAACTGGACCTGATTCCTGTTTCCGCTGACACCTTCACCCTAGGACATGGTCCCCTGGTCCACCTCCTCCTCTAACAGCGCTGCAATGGTTACACTGGGTAGCATCTCCCACGGACGCTGATCGAGTAATAAAGGGGCGGTAGGACATTAAATTGAGTGCATTCAGGGTTTGTTTTATCTGGCACCAGAAGGTTTTGTAGCTGAAGCGTTAAAATAACAAATACTATGTTGAAGTTAACTTTGAAAACTGTTGTATTTGCTTCTTTGAAGTGGAATCTACCAGTTAAGTAACTGTTGATCAATTTACAACCAACCTCCTTTCAAATCTAGATTTAAAAACCTTACCATAAAAAGGAAGACAGGTTATTAGCAGAACAATCATGGTAGGGATACAGACACTTCATATGTCATTATTCATTAACTCCATACACAGTGGTGATAAACTACTACTATAGCCACAGCTGCCCTGGGGAAGACTGACAGAAGCGAGACAACCAGTATGTGCCATCAGCCCCTCCTGGCATAACCACCACCAGTAAGATTTTTTGGAGGTGAATAGGTAGACCTATGAGGAGATTTTGAATTCCATCCATGCAATCAGAAAGCTGTTGCGGTGAGTAGGGGCGGGGCTAACTGCTGCTAAAAAAATGTAAATGTTCAATTTGAAAAGTATCTGTCGTTTCTTTAATTTGAGATGTTTTAAAACTTAAACTAAACTAAACAAAAAAACAGCATATACACTCTAACTGCTTCTACAGCATTTGAAAAGGGGTTGGACGAAGCAGACTCAGACATTCACTTTTCCCCCTTACATTCATGCGTACACTTAGGTGTCTTCTTACCCCTGGTTGGGAAACGCTGCCCTAGTAGATGGATCAAACACAGAGGACACATTTCCTTATTGTACCTTACCTGTAGACTACCTGCGTAACAACCGGTATTTACACCATCCTTATGTTTTTTTGATTACATAACATTTATTTTTCTATAGCCCTATATCACAACAGCAGTCATCGCGGAGGACTTCACAAAGTTGTTGATTTGCAGACAACAGATCAGAGAATCAAACTATTCGAAAACAGGAAATGCAATAATAACAAACACATAGGAGCCACTGATCCATATGTTAATAAACGGCATCTTTTCTCCTCTATCCTCTGCAGCAGGTAAAAATCAATATTGGTCGTAGCGTTTTGTCAGGCTGCAGAGCACTGACCTTCTGACTCAAACTGCCAGAGTCTGCCAAAAAGAGCTCATAGCGAAGCCATTCCGCGCCGATTAAAAGCTAAAAGCGTTTTGTTTTGTCACCGGGGCGAAAATCATAGCACTATTAACGGTTCAAAATCAATACATTCTGACAGGCGCATGAAATGTAAACACTCACCAATGTTTTTGCAATGTTGATAATTTTAAGCGTCACTTTTCAGAAGGCCACTCCTGCGCTTTTGTCCTGGCGTCTATAACACCACGGGTGAACTTTGTTTTGAGCTCTCAGATCCAAGGGGGTGGCCAGAGTGCGAGAGTCCAAATCCTCTTCTGTTTTGGGTTATGGGCTGAATCGTTTATGTCTGTTTAATTGCTTCTACAAGAGTGTTTTCTCTTTATAGGGCTTGATAATAGCAGAAGTGTGTTTATTGCCCCGTGGGTTCTGTCCTCATTCAAATTACATTTCCAGTGTGCTTAATTTCGCTTTGCTAAATCACATAAGCAGTTTTTTTAATATACAGCCCGATTCATTATCTGCTTGTTTTGCGTTCTGCCAGTTTTCTTACGTAACATTATGCAAAAACTAATTATATTTTAGATTAATTTACTAATACTTTTAAAGTACTTTTATAGGACTTTTTATGCTACTGTTTGAATTTTTTTATGGACATAACATTTTTCTTTTGCCTGCTTTGATAGAGATACACAGACATGAACACAAACACTTTCACCCGTGACATTTTCAACAGAATCAACGAAGCTTAAAAGTGCATAATTATGACGCCTGTTTTAAATATAAATTTTATGTTTACACGGTTGTTAGTTATTGATTTAAAACAAATTAGAGAAAGTAAGCATTACAGGCATTCAAGGCATTACAATAATAAATAATCACAGGAAGAGTGAAGATACAATCCTTCATTTGTATGCACAGCTAAATAGAACTTCAGGTCAGAGAAGAAGCCACATTTTCAGGAGGACTGATCCAGATTATAGCTGCATAAGTCTGCAATGCTGCCTCCCCATGTTTAGTTCTGACTCTGGGCACCAGCAGGAGACCAGTCCCTGTGCTTCTCAGAGATTTGATTTCTAAAAAGTATTTTTTATTACATATTTTTGTAGATTTGATTTGATTCTTAAATGCTTGTTGTATTGGCATCCGTTGGGAGCCCCCCTGAAGTGAAGTGGGCCCCGAACCCATCTTTGGAAAACACTGCCCTAGACGCCTCGATAAAGCCACTCTCAGACTCTCAAAACTGACAGTCTCCCTCTGTCCTTTTCGTCCACAGTCAAATTTGATGACTGCGCGGGAAACCGGACGGTGACCTTCCACAGCAGCGACCCGCGCTTCACCGCCCTGCTCAACGGCGCCATCTACGTCCCGGAGGATGTCCCGCTGTCCGACACGCCGGCCCAGTTCACGTTCAGCGCTCGTGGGCCGGACTCTGAGCTCTGGGAGACGGCGGTGAGGCTATCATCGCCGGCCCCTCCCTCACTTCAACCGAATGGAAAAGAGGTGAGAGATTCAATTATCATTCCAGAGCTCGTCGCAGCTTTCACATGTTCTCCAGCGGTTTGGTGATAGTGGCAGGCGAGAATCAGGTCAAAACTCCTTGGGGTTTTTCACAGAGGAGTAGAGATTGTAGAGTGGGGAGAAAAAAGTAGCAGTCGCACATGGTTAAAAGTGATGGAATCATGGGGCCACGGGGGGCGAGTCCCATTCCCCTCACTTGTAAGCTGTTATTGGAAAACATCCTGAGCCTCGGAGACCCGGGGGTCCTGGACTCCTCCGCCGCTATTTAAGAGTAGTCAGAGGTGAGCGGCTGGGAGCTGAGTCTACTCTCTGTCATGAACTTCCAACTTTCTTTGGTTAAAGCGAAGGTAATTAACTACCAAACCCACCAAAAAAAATATTTCTGATAAAACAGGTTGGTTCTATATCACATGCATGTATGTTTTGGTCTCTTACATTTTAAATCAGCCTTTTGCCTAAAGAGTCAAAAAGTCACTTACAGGGCGCTAATTTTCAAGTTTTTTCAATTAATATGAAAAAGCATGTTGTGGTCTGGGACTCTCTGTCGGGACAAACGACCTGGATTATTTTTGAGAAAAAAATCGCTTTGTAACGTATGTATTGTTAAGATAATAAAAACTTATTTCTTTGAGGGGAATTTGTCCTGCATTGGATTGTTTGGTATTTGGCAAGGCTGAAAATATTGTCAGCATCATAATGTGTTCTTCTCAGCATGAAGGCTGATAAGTGTTGAGTTTGCATGTTCTCCCTGTGTCTGCGTAGCTTTCCTCCAGGTTTTCTGGTTCACGGTACCACTAAAAACATGGGCAATAGGGTTGAATAGGGTTGAATGATTGTGTGTTTGACTGTGGGACAAGAGATGACATTTTAGCTAAAAGGGGACGTTCTGAAGTACATGATTACTTGATTCGTTTTTACACACTGTCCATTCATATTAAAGAAACACAACTTGAAAATATTGTTATACTATTATCTTATTTTCATCTGATAAGCTGTCAGCTTGAAAACAGCATTTCAGTGTGACATACAATTACAGATCCAGTTTAGCTTTGTCTCTGTGTGGACATGGCTCTTCGGTGCTTGTCGTAAGGGGGTTGACAGGCCGAAAGCAGGCAGAATGTATTTTTGACAAACCTGGGAAAACTCTCAAGTTACAGTTTTCACAACAATCCTTCTGATCACTTGTACTAAATTCTGCGACGCAAATACACATTTCGACTCTCTCTCTGGAAGACTTTTGCAGGAGTCTCAAGATCCAGTTCATGGTGCACTTAAACATATTGGGCCAAGGATGGAGGTGGGGAGACCAGTGACAAAGACAGTGAATTGGCTTCAGAGGAGCTCATGAAGAGGGCATCATTGTTGAGTATATTGGCCTATACTCATGGTCTCCCGTCTGAGCTGTAAAGAAAATGTCTTTGCATCCTTCATCTCTATTACAGTCATTTTACTGAGGAATAGAATGGACGGTTCAAGAATACTCTTGTATTCAAAAGTACGTACAAGGTCTTGCCAAGACCCAGGGCTCAATATTAAAAAGCCCATTTTTTCAGTGATCTAGTTTCTTCGTCCGAGGGGGCAAAGTAAAAACGTTTTTTGCGAATAATTTAATTTAGGCAAGGCAAGTTTATTTGGAAAGCACAGTTCATAGACATGCAACTCAAAGTGCTCAACAAAATTAATACATTAAATCCATAAATAATCACAGTGCATTTTTTAATGCACTGTGATGAGTGAATGATAAAATGAGTGACAGCTGAACAGAACTGTTTCAACCTCGATTTGAACATTGTCAAAGGTGAAGCCTGTCTCACATTATCAAGAAGACTTTGGAGATTTCATGACACTTTGAAACAACTGTGGTTGAAGTTAAACTCATCATGCTAACAATGCACAAAGCAGTACTTTTCCACTACACGTTTTGGTTATTTCAAGGCAGAAGCCACTGACAATTGGAGGTCTCCATTCATCCTTGCTGTATAACATCACTTGCATTGTGTGAAGCTTTGTTTGTGTCTGTCTTTACCATCGACCAAAAAACATGTCTTCTGTCTGAAAGACACAATCCCAGATGATTGTTATTTTCTTCAAGACTATAGATTTTAGCTGTGTATATCTAAAATGCTGGCCAGTCCCTGTGCTCCTCAGAGTCTGAGTTGGTTCATATGGCACTAACAGGTCACAGGTGTACAGGTGCAAATGTTGAGAATATGTGTTTATTTATTTCTAGGATACTTTTGCCCAAACCTTGCATGAGTCCGTCGATGTTAAGCAGACAGGGGTCACGAGCCTGGACAAGGCTACTCATCCAAACAGCATTGGGAATAAAGCAGTGCGCCGCAAACCAAATGCGATGTTTCATTATGGAAATCGTGCTTTGTGGCATGCTCTGGTGAATAATAACTTCCAGATGTCTTTGTGACCGGGGGCTGGCTGGTATCAAAGCATGCAGTGAGTTTTTAGAGAGGAAGACATCTATGCATATTGTGTGCGTGTGTGTGTGCGCATGTCTGTGTGTGTGTGACTATGTGGGGGGGTGGCTGGGACCTCTGCCAGCTGGCCCAGACCGATACACCCAAGCTGGGGTGGAGACTGGAGCAGAGGGGGGCCCATCCATTTCACACTGACTGATTTTGCTTCACGTTGCAACATTGTACACGATTAGGCCTTTCCGTTACATATGCACTCAATTATATTTCTGTTTTCATGCTTAGGATTAGGAAGGATTGAGTGGGAATGCATTTGGGGCACTGTAAATGTAATACAAACCCTTAAAAGTCACTAGTACTCAACTAACATAAAACATACTGCATATTTCATCTCAGTTCTCACTTGCTGGTGGTAGATGTCTCTTGTTATGAACTGGGCCAAAACTATAGTGTGCATTAGGAATGGACTGACATAGTGTGACGTCCACAAATGAAGGCATCTGAATGGTCAATACTAATCTGGCTCATGTCTGGATATACAAATACAAAGTATCACAATGTAAATACCAAGATCACAGAGAGCGCTGAACCACAGATTTTTAAATCCCAAATTGGTGAGTGTGACACAAACAGTTACTGAGCTAGAGGAGTTTAGTTTTCAATGTAAGTCAATAAGAGCCAGAGCGAGTTGGAGGAAAACTTTGTTAACTATTGGGCTTCATTGGGCAGGGGAGATAACATTGTCTATGTGTATGTCCAAGTTAATCATTACGGAATTGTTTAGTATAGATTGGTCTATATTGTATATTACAACGTGTAAAAGCCTGTTATGGGCGTGCTTAATTTACAGAAAGAAACTTTAATTTTCAAAAGATAATTATTTTCTGAGGGGAAAGTCCAAATGTTGCAGCACAGCGGTTCTATGTATGTATGGACAGGGCACTTTATAGAACAAGGCCTAAAATACGACATAATCAAGTGTTCCAGAAGTTAAACAGTAGTTTTTTCCTTATTGCATTTCCGGGCCTGTGGAGTTTATATACTCCTACCCATGTCTGGGTGGGTTTCCTCCAGGGCCTACGGTTTCCCCCGTGACAAAACTTAGAGTATGAGGAGCACAGGTAAAGCCCTCCTGCTAATGCCCAGGACTAAACATTGGGATGTAGCGTTTCAGATGTATGCAGCTGAAATCTGGAACAGTCTTTCTGAATATGTGAGACAGGCTTTTCACTGACAATGTTCAAATCCAGGTTAAAATAGTTGTGTTTCGCTGTGCACTGTATATGACTGAATTGCATCTTCGCTCTTTTTAATGTACTGTGATTATTTACTTTTAATGTCTTGTGTGATAGTTTTTTTCTTGTTTTGTAAGCACTTTGTTGGCTTGTGTATGAACTGTGCTATTCAAACAAACTTGACTTGCCTTATTCAAAACATGTAGTCATATAAATGTGAGTAAATGGTGATGGTGGGAGCAATTTTCAGCATGTTGCTGATAAATAATAATGCATTGATTGTATTTAGCGCTGTATAAAGACCCCATTTATTTCACACACAGTGGTGGTAAGTTAGATCTGTTGCCACAGCTGCCCTTGGACGGATTAATGGTTGCACCAATAATCACCAATAATCACCAATAATCATTCACACACAAACCAGACTCATACTTGGCATTTCTTCTTCCCGTATCTCCATGTTGCATATAACTGAGATGATAGTCAAATGGGATTTTGAAGATGTTTGAATAATATTAAATAACACGCCCGAAGGATCTTGACTTAAAGTTTCTACAGCTGTCTTTCCCAACTTTCTTCCTCCACTGGTGCGTCCGGTGGGATCTCACTAGTACCTGTTAGCATGTGTAGATAAAAGCATCTACAGCATGACTTATTCAAACACCAGGTTGGAGGGTCCCAGCCGCCCCTCCTCATGCTCCCTCCACCTCTCCTCTCCTCGCTTCTCCTTTCCTCTCCTCTTCTCTCCTCTCTTCTCTTCTCCTCTCTTCTCCAATCCTATAAACTCCTTGTTCTGAATATCAGAACTAATGTAGCCCTCTGCAGAAAGCAGGGATCCATTTGTCGAGACGGCCTTGTTGCCAGGTTGGGCCTGGCAGAGGCGAGCCTGTTGAACATGGACAGGGTGCAGTGGGGTCAGTCGGCCTAAACTTGTCACAATATATTGGTTTGGATGTGTACGCTTAGTATCCGGCTTGTTTGGAGAGTTTTATATTTCTTAGTAAAACAATACGTAACTAGACCCTTGCTTTCGAAACAGTTTGGTTCTATAATTTTTGGCCTTTATCACATCTATCAGATCAGCTTTTTAGACAGAAAAGTAAAAAAAAAAGAGATTGAAGTGTTATCCTTCCATCCGCAGCCAATCAGCTCTTCGCCCGAAATGTCAAATAATGACTCACAGGGCTCTTTCCTAAAACGTGGCATGTGTTTTAATAGTGTGATGTAAACTATGCTTCTTTAAGCATCCAATAAGACACAAGCATGTCATGCGTGTTGGCACAGTTGTATAATGGCAATTGGCAAGCAAGTTTATATG